TCGTCCACTGGATGTTCGCGCAGCTGCTCGGCTCCGCCTCCTCACCGGTGATTGGCCACCAGAACTGTAGCTCAGGAAAGGCACACAGGCGGCCAATCACCAGCGAGGAGGCGGAGCTGAGCGGCCCCGCGAAAATCGAGTGGAGATGCAGGTAAGTGTGCCGTGCTTAGGTGCTGCTGCAACCACATATGCTGGCTGCAGCAGCACCATACTGGAACAGGGGTCAGCAAGTGTCAGTGGGAGGAATAGTGCCCCATCGTTGGTGTCACTGATACCAATGATGGGGCATTATTCCTCCCACTGACACCAACGATGGGGCACTTTTCCTCCCCCCCACTGACACCAACGATGGGGCACTATTCCTCCCCCCCCCCACTGACACCAACGATTGGGCACTATCTCCCCCCCCCCCACTGACACCAATGATGGGGCACTATTCAACCCCCCACTGACACCAATGATGGGGCACTATTCCACCCCCACTGACACCAATGATGGGATACTATTCCTCCCCCTCCACTGACACCAACGATGGGGCACTATTCCTCCCCCCCCCCCCCTACTGACAGCAATGATGGGATACTATTCCTCCTACTGACACCAAAGATGGGGCACTATTCCACTGACACCAATGATGGGGTGCTATTCCCCCCAATGATACTAATGATGGGGCACTATTCCTCCCACTGACACCAATGATGGGACACTATTCCTCCCACTGATACCAATGATGGGGCACTATTCCTCCCACTGATACCAATGATGGGACACTATTCCTCCCACTGACACCAATGATGGGACACTATTCCTTCCACTGACACCAATGATGGGGCGGTATTCCTCACACTGACACCAATGATGGAGTGCTATTCCTCCCACTGACACCAATGATGGGGCACTATTCCTGCCACTGATACTAATGATGGGGCACTATTCCTCCCACTGACACCAATGATGGGGCACTATTCCTCCCACTGATACCAATGATGGGGCACTATTCCTCCCACTGATACCAATGATGGGGCACTATTCCTCCCACTAATACCAATGATGGGGCACTATTCCCCCCACTGTCACCAATGATGGGACATTATTCCTCCCACTGACACCAATGATGGGGCACGATTCTTCCCACTGGTGTGCACTGGAAGAGGGGTAGTCTTATACGGCGAGTATAGCCCAAACACTACATTTTAAACAGGAAAAGTAGGGGGTCGTCTTATACGCCCAGTCGTCTTATACGCCGGAAAATACGGTATATTTATATCAGAAATCCAGCTGGTAGGCTCTTCTGGTCTCCTTCCTTTGGACCCACTTACATAACCTCTTCATGTCTCCTCAGTTGGTTAATCTATACATATTAAGACATTATTCATTTTTAACAGCTTGGATGTGGACCTCTTCCTCAGCTGTACAGGGTAACTCCAGTGGCACTGGCAGAGGATAGAGTGTCGAGACAACATCAGCTCTCATTTTTACATTACTTGATTTTAAAGTACCTAGGTGGTCATATCAATTTGCTTACATATGGGTTAGTACAATTTTGTGTATAATGTTTAATCGGAATAAATTGACAATATATCTCTCAAAATGTATCATGAAGATGTTAATGTACACTATTCTTACACCATAGAATATATTGATTGTCATCAGCAGCATTCCTGAAAAAGAGAAGTTCTAACCTTGAAACACGTTGGATGTTTGGCTATTACATGATTATATGAAGGACTATCTATGTAATCCCATGCAACTATGACCGCTGACATGTCTGCAGAATTATTTTTAAGCCTTATGTAAAAATAAACTATTTGTAATTTAAAAAAAAATGTTTTGTGTTTGATATCTTGGCTCATTGACTAGTGCTGTTCCATAGTCCCAATTCCCTGGGGAATATCATTTTCTTTTATGCACTCTTGATGTCTGACAACTTCACTTATGACAACTGTGGATTGCCTGGACTTCAATTCCAAACCTTTTTGAGCTCTTCCACTCTTGCCTGCCTCCCCCACAGCCATAATCAGATTATGGTTTTGCTGTTGGAGAGCAGCAGATGGTTTCAGCTCCTGTTCTCCACCTATAGAGAACTCCTCAGGCATGATTCACCCTTTTTCGGGTCTTATTCATAGTGGCAAACTCTATGATTAAGCCCTGAAAAGGGCGAAACGTATCTGAAGAGTTCTCTGCGAGTGGAGAAAAGGAGCTGAAGACATCTTTATAATTTTATTTACATTTATGCAACAGGGAAACGGTGTCTGCGTGCAGATGGCCACCATTTTGTTGAAGTCTACTAGAGCCTGATGAGTCGATCCTGTGTGTCTTGAACCAGTCTATTCATATGCTGATCCACTGATACAGATTTGGGGGCATTTGAGTGGTATTAGTTTAATTGCTTTGGGCTACATCAGCTAAACCTTAACAGCCAACTCCAGATCTATTTTCACTTTAAATAGCTTGTTTGGGCCACGCTGTCCCAAGTGAACTATTTTTTTTTACAAATAGATGCGGCCACTGTCAACGCTGTATAAACTGTATTAAGCACCAGAGAGGACGTAAGCAGAACACTCCAACACAGACAGAAATTAACGTGGTTTTTTTTTTTCAGTAGAACACATGAAGGCGACAACTACTGGAGTCCCAGATATTGATTAAAACCCTACAGAAGCTGTAACCCTTTCCCTACTTTATTCAGAACAAAAAAAAAAAAAACAATGTTTTAAGATTAACATACACTATATTGCCAAAAGTATTGGGACATCCCTCCAAATCATTGGATTCAGGTGTTCCAATCAACTCCATGGCCACAGGTGTATAAAATCAAGCACCTAGGCATGCAGACTGCTTCTACAAACATTTGTGAAAGAATGGGTCACTCTCAAAAGCTCAGTGAATTCAAGCGTGGTACCGTGATAGGTTGCCACCTGTGCAATAAGTCCATCCTTGAAATTTCCTTGCTGCTAAATATTCCATGCTCAACTGTTAGTGGTATTATAACAAAGTGGAAGCAACTGGGAACAACAGCAACTCAGCCACAAAGTGGTAGGCCATGTAAAATGACAAAGTGGGGTCAGAGCATGCTGAAGCACAAAAGTCACCAACTGTCTGCAGAGTCAATAGCTAAAGGCCGCCAAAGTGTGGCAGATTAGCACAACAGTGAGAGCTTCATGGAATGGGTTTCCATGGCCGAGCAGCTGCATCCAAGCCTTACATCACAAAGTGCAATGCAAAGCACTGGATGAAATGGTAAAGCATGCCACCACTGGACTCTAGAGCAGTGGAGGCATGTTCTCTGGAATGACAAATCACGCTTCTGTGACTGGCAATCCGATGGAAGTGTCTGGGTTTGGCGGTTGCCAGAACAGTACTTGCCTGACTGCATTGTGCCATGTGTAAAGTTTGGTGGAGGGGGATTATGGTGTGGGGTTGTTTTTCAGGGGTTGGGCTTGGCCCCTTAGTTCCAGTGAAGGGAACTTTTAAGGCATCAACATACCAAGACATTTTGGACAATAAAAATTGGGTCATAATTCCAACTTTGTGGGAACAGTTTGGGGATGGCCCCTTTCTGTTCCAACATAATTGCGCAACAGTGCACAAAGCAGGGTCCATAAATACATGGATGAGTGAATTTGGGGTGAAGGAACTTGACTGGTCTGCAGAGTCCTGACCTCAACCCAACAGGAACACCTTTGGGATGAATTACAGCAAAGACTGCGAGCCAGGCCTTCTCATCCGACATCAGTACCTGACCTCACAAATGAGCTTCTGGAAGAATGGTCAAACATTCCCATAGACACACTCCTAAACCTTGTGGACAGCCTTCCCAGAAGAGTTGAAGCTGTTATAGCAGCAAAGGCTGGGCCAACTCAATACTGAGCCCTACGGACTGAGACTTAGATGCTATTAAAGTTCATGTGCGTGTAAAGGGTAAAGGCAGGCGTCCCAATACTTTTGGCAATATAGTGTATGCTTTTAACTGCATGTAGCCTATATCAACTAAAGAACAACTGGGGCATTACATCCTTAAACATGCTGAGGGCCATGTGGCATGTGAGAGTACATTCCCAGTGCTGTGAACTGTGTACATTTATGGCAGTTCACAAGCAAAAAATGGTGAGAGGTTCTTAAAACAGATCTTCACTCTTACTCTCCACATTCCCTAATTTTAATTTTTTGCTCCATTATTTTTTGTTCTTATTACCTTTACAATTACCATTTCATGTCCTTCTGCATTTCTCAACTAGACAAGAAGAACTTCGCCTTCAGCTGCCTGCAGCCTCCTGAAATACTCCGCCACGCATCCCAGGAGGCTTCAGGAAAGTCTAAAGCACATGTGCGCAGCAGCAAGGGACTGGCGGTCTCTTCCTGGTTTTTGCAGCTGGCCCCTTAATATTGCATGCACATCATCAGAGAGGCAGCTACAAGAATTATAAAGAGATAGTCGGATCTTGCAAAGGAGGAAAATGGCAGCACGGTACCAGGTGGGCAGTAGTGGAGCAGCGTATTACAATAAGATAGCTCGCTAAATGTGCGAGTATGTTTATTAGAGATAGTTCAGAAAAAAGGATGAGTTGAGATAGAAAAAAAAATAAAGGGAAGCAAAGTTTCTCTTTAACAGCAGACATTGCTGCAGGAGAAAGGGGTAGGGCATTGGCTAAATCCTTCATTAAACTGCATTTATCCTTTAAAAGCTCTGTGCTTAGATGGGAATTTACATAAGTCTAGAAATCTTGATCAGATTTTAATACTCATTGGATGTTGGAGCATCCTTATATCTTCAAGCCTCATAATTAAAGTATAACAATGGGACAAAAAACAAAAGCAGAGGTAAGACAAAAAAGCTGTGTTTAAATTAATGCTTGGAGAAAAAAAAAACAAGTAAGCAAAGAAAATATTTCAATCTTAATAGCACACAAATCAGCAAAAGTTGTCAAATATCCTTAAAGCCCACTGTGATTAATCCAGCATAGTCAAAATCTGGACTTAACATGCAAGTTGGCACTTACCGATCAGTAACTGAAGTTAAACAGAGCATTAGTGTGTTAAAAAAAAACCATCAGCTCTTTCTGCAGATGCTGCCTCACAGCTGCTTGTGTATCATCCACGTCCTTTTTGGCCGTTTGCTCTTTCTGGATGATTAGATCTAGTAGTGGACTTGGGCTCTAAAAAGCAACAGTAAAATTAGAATTTTCATCCTTGTGATCCACTCATTGAGGCATGAATTGTGCCTGGGATAAGTTGTCTTTTACAAGTGTAAGAAATAAAGTAAAGCTCCGAGCAAACACCTAGATACATTCTTGAAATACATGTATGCGAATTGTTTTATCTGCCAAAACATGTGTTATTCTTTTCAATCACTCCTGTGATTTACACACGTCTACTATGCAGCATGGTCACTCCAGGGACACCATTATTCAGATTTCGTTTTGCGCACTATTGTCTTAATTGCATGCCCACTAGACCGTGAACCCGCATCATCACACTGCAGGATTGACTGTCCAATAAGAATGCCTATGAGACGGGAAATTGTAAAAATGAAAAAATAAATAGTGGAGTCAAAAGCCCAAGAGCTTGGTCACACCATATTTGTTGAGTTGTGATTTACTGCACAGCATCACACATGTACGGTGTAAATAGGGCAAATAGAAATCAATTGTTTTCTATGTGCTCTGTTTTCACCCTATATGTGCACATATGGTGCGCTGAAAAACACGCGAGAGAGAGAGAGAGAGAGAGGAGAGAGGGGGAGAGAGAGGGAGAGAGGGGGTGTGAGAGAGAGGGAGAGAGGGGGGTGAGAGAGAGGGGGGGAGGTGAGAGAGAGGGAGAGAAGGGGGTGAGAGAGAGGGAGAGAAGGGGGTGAGAGAGAGGGGGAGAGAAGGGGGTGAGAGAGAGGGAGAGGGGGTGAGAAAAAGAGGGAGGTGAAAGAGAGGGGGTGTGGGAAAGGGAGAGAGGAGGGTGAGAGAGGGGTGGGAGAGAGAGGGGGAGAGGGGGGTGGGAGAGAGGGGGGGGTGAGAGCCAGGAGCCCCTCTGTCATAGTTCACACTGAGCCCTGTATACCATCCATGGTGACTATGTGTGTAGAGGGGGTACAGCGATGGAACATGTGTGCAGACTGGGTGCAGCGATGGAACATGTGTGCGGGGGGGGGTGCAGCAATGGAAAATGTGTGCAGGGGGGGGGGGTACAGCGATGGAAAATGTGTGCAGGGGGGGGGGGTACAGCGATGGAACATGTGTGCAGGGGGGGTACAGCGATGGAACATGTGCACAGAGTGGGTACAGCGATGGAACATGTGCACAGAGTGGGTACAGCAATGGAACATGTGTGCAAAGGGGGTACAGTGATGAAACATGTGGGGGACCCAGTGTATATGGGGGAGCGCTGTATTTCATATAATGGGGGCCCTGTGTGTCCTGGGTGGGGGCAGTGTACTCATAATGAAGGATTCCTTGTCATGTGAATGGGGAGTTGTACTCTTTATATTGAGAGACCCCTATATGACCTCAGGATGGGGAGCTCAGTACATTTTACATTGAGGAACCCGCTGTATGACCTGGGAATGGAAGCTCTGTATGCCATTTAATGCGGGACAAACTTTCTGACCTGAGAATTGGGGTTCATTGTGCTTTACAATTGTGGGTCCCCTTTCTGCCCTAAGTAGGTGCTCTGTGTGCCTTATAATGAGAGGTCCACTCTGACTTGAGGATGACCATGTCCTCTGCACTTTATAATGGCGAACCCCATGTGTGGCTTGAGGATGGGGGGCACTATCTATACCACCTCTCACGCCCTCTCTCTCATCCCCCCTAACCCCCTCTTTATCTCATCCATGCCCACTCCACACCCCCCCCCCCTTACCCCCCCCCCCCCTCCCCCCCCCCCCCCCCCCCCCCCTCCTTCCACTTCCTCACCCCCCTCTTCCCCTCCTAGTTTCTAATCTGAGTTTCTGTCATATTTCAGGTTTTTATTAGGTGTTCTGTCAGTAGATATTCCATGTTTCCTAACAGGAAGGAGCTGAGTTGGAGCCAAAGGCCCACACAAGGCATTTAACCCCTCAATCATCGGGAATCTATGTAACCAGCCCCCGAAAACCATACGTAATTTTTTCTGCAGTGTGCAACACTTCCTTCTCTGTCACTAAGGCCCAAATTATGATTTGCACACAGGCCCACTTCTTTCATAAGACACTCCTGGTTGTGTCATAAAGATGGCTGCCACATGGCAGCCCTCTTTAAACCTAGAAGTACCCACCAGCTTCTACAGAAAGAAGCCAAGAATGTCCAGACAGGCTATTCTGCAGTAGATATTTAAAGGTCCTCTCTACGTAGCTGAGCTGCAATATGTAGTCGGGGCTTGAATGTGGGTGTGGCTTGAGTGTGGGCAGGGACACAGGGGCCCCATTATCTCCTATTGCCCGGGGGCCCCATGAGTTGTCAGCCTGCCCCTGATCACAATCTATTTTATGCTTTACTGTGCAGTGCAACAGACATTACATACAATGTAACTCTATAAGGTATAAAACCTAGGTTAAACAAAGACTGTGTGGCTATTTTTTTTTAATTTGATGTGTACAGCAAATTAATATTACAAGGGCTTACGATTACGTTAAAAAATCAATTACATTCTGAAAGTTTATTTGCAATTTTTTCCCAACCAAGTTTTAGTTTAGCACCAGGGAACAGCAAATAATAGGTCACAATTACAATGAATTACTATACGTCAAAACATCTGTGCATAAGGCAACAAGGAACCATGCAATTTTGATTTCCTTTGTGTGGAAAACAATATCTGTTATTTAGAAAGGAACAGCCAAATGTTTGCAGCTGCACAATTATAATTGCATTCATAATGGAGCTTTTTATCAATATTTAGATATAGCCTCAGTTAAAACAAATCCAAAGCCAAACTTTTTTCCCTATTTTGAAAAAAGTAGGAGAGGGTTGAAATCACTATCAGGTTTTTTTTTTTTTCCTACCAATAGTGATATTTCCTACTTACCTTACTCTGTTCTGTAGACAAGAGCTGAGAGGATATTTTTTCCAATATGAGTAAATCCCCTCTTAAACCGTTGTCACAGGAACAAATCCCCATTGGAAAATTTTCTCTCTATTTCTGTTCTAGTGGCAACTCAAAATTTTGAATTCACCCTCACTTTCATTCTCTGCAACATTGGTGAACAGGACAATTAGAAAGAGTAAATTATCTAATAGGACCCCATAAAACAAACTCCCTAAAACTCCCCTCATTACTCTAGCCTAAGCTAAATGTTCCTAATTGCTTGGGACCAATGGAACACATATATGTGGCCTCACAGAACTGCACTTTTTTCTGTGGCACGCGCTCCCAGCACAAAGACCAGGGTGTCACAGAGCACTGGGTCCCGTTCTAATGATTGAGACCCAGGACTCCTGATTCTGGGTCACATGATTGCTGTGATAGCCTATGATTGGCTATCACAAGGATCAGTCATTGTAAAGCCCGTCCCCTTGGTTTTTTTTTTTTTTCTCTCTAAATGGGGGAAAGATATACATTGTACCTCTCTCTCTCTCCTTGCAGAGAGAAAAAAAAAAACTGGTTTGTGAAAAAAAAAAAAATTAAAGAATTAAAAAAATATTACCTAGATCAAGGTTTGATCTAGTTCAGTGCCAAGGTTACGGTTTTTGGTCAAGGTCAAAGGTCAGGATTTTTAAAATTATCATTTTTTTAAAAATGGGTATCAGTGTCAATTGGTGTCTGTGTTTAAAAATAAAAAAGCACACACTATTGTTTCTGGGCTGTACTATGGGTACAAATAACATACACAAATATGGTAGCGCTGTGATCATCAAGAGCTGGAGAACTTATTTTGGGTTGTTCTTTGGTGGTAGGTTATGGTAGCAACATGAAACACACAGCTAAATTTAAAAAATGATTTTTTTTTTTTTTTTTTACAATTATGGGCCAGTTTTCCTTTGATAATAATAATAATGAAAAAAAATAATCAGGGGATATCCATTACCATTTACCACCAAATGAAAGCCCAATTTGTCCTGGAAAAAAAAAAACAAGGTATATTTCACCTGCATGTACAAAGTGGTATATGTACAGTTTTACTAACACATGTCAAAGTTGCAACATTTTACTTAGACCTACACATGAAACCATCGATTGCGATACACGTTACATATCACACGCACGCCAGAATGAGAGCAATAACACAGGTCTGCAAAAAAAATTTTTTTTTCAAGAGCTGTTTTGGTTTTTCTACATAATCTTTGTTTTTTGGTGCGCTGAATCCGAAAATGACCTCCATTTTGTCATAGGATATCACATTTCCTGACAATTTAGATAACTATGTTATTAGGGCAATACCTCAAAATAAATGGAAATAGACTTATAAATTAAAGTTTTATTACAATTTTTTTTGAAAATCCTTTTTTGAACTGAAATGAGCTCACCTACACACACTAAACTTGATTCTTCTTCCCTGTGAGGCTCCTCTTGGTGCATTTATGCTTGTGAGTAGCATCTGGAATGTCTCTCTGAAGCATCCAATAGTAGTCTGCCATCATTGTAAAGCTCCATTTTCTCTGGTATCTCCTTTCCATCTCTTTAATGTCTTGGTGGAATCGTTCACCTTGTTACTCACAGCTCCCAAATTTTCAGGAAAGTAGTCAAGGTGGGACTGGAGGAAATGCACTTTCAAACTCATCAGGCAACCTAAAGCTTGAAATGCTTTCAGCATTCGTCCGACGATCTTTTTGTAGTGAAGATCTTTGTTATTGCCTAAAAATTTCTGTACGACTTCTTTAAATGCAATCCACCCTTCTTTTTGAGGATCCATCATGGTATTGAAAAACTCTTCATCAACTATAAGCCTTCTAATGTCTGATCCAACGAACACACCTTCCTTCAATTTTGCCTCCGACAGGCCTGGAAACTTGGTGACCAAGTATTTGAAGCATTCTCCATCTCTTGGAAGTGATTTTACGAATTGCTTCATCAATCCCAATTTTATGTGGAGAGGTGGTAGAAGAACTTTATGGGAAGGTACCAAAGTTTCTCGGAGGACATTTTTTTCACCGACTGTTAGCACCCTCGGCTGCCAACTCTTCTTGGTCCAGTGATTTTGTCGGTCTTGACTGTCCCATAGACACAGAAAACAAGGGTATTTGGTATACCC